TTTCTGATATTTTTATTTGATATAAAAAAAATAATACTAATAAATATCCAAATAAATTATATAATTAAAAAGATTTATATTATTAATAAATAAGAAAATTGAAACTCAATTAATATAATCAAAAGATATAATAATTTTAACAGTACAATAATATTCTTCTAGATAATAAAAATTAATTTAAATTTTATATGGTTTATATATATACCTTTGGGCATCTTAATAGTAAGAATTGCTCTATTTGAAAATTATCTCTTAATTTTAGAAATACTAAACAAAATATAATAAAACTTTCTAAAATTAATAAAATAACTTGTTATTTATATAATAAGTATTATAATATATTTCAAAGTTTAAATAGTAAATATTTCAACAAATAACAAAATAGAAAAAAAATTTTATAATAATTGATTTTAATTAAGATAATTTAAACAAGATTTAATATTATATATAAAGTTATTTTGGATATAAAACATAGTTAAATACTAAGACAATTCCAAAATATTTATAAAATACTTGAAAACACAAAAAAGTCACCTATATAAAAATAATAAATCTATTGAAAATCAATTAGACTTATTTGATACAAGAAGCTTCAGTTTCAAATTAGGTAACAAAAAAAGAAAGTTTAAGTTGAAACATAATATAATATAAAAAAAGCTTATCTTTAAAGAACAAATATGTAAAGCTTTAAAGACATATTATATTTTGAGGTATAGAATAATATTCAATCAATATTAGAATTAATTGACATTGGATTAAAGTTGAAAAAATAATAAAGGAACAGGGACAAAACTTCTAAAAACATACTAGTTGAATTAATATTTACAACTAAGGAAAATAAAAACAGTTCACTAGCAATATTACAAAAGTATTTCTTAGTTTACAAGAACTCTTCTTATTTTACAAATATAAACATATCAACTACTTTCAAAAATTCAATATTTGTATTAGAAAATAATATTGATACTTTTCTTAAAGAACAAAAAAAAACTCTAATCAAACAGCTAATAATTATCTTCTCTATATAATAATGCACAACATTAGAGAAATCACTTGAGAGACAAACCAAGATATCTTAATCCAAAAATTAATAAAAGATAAATATATAGTGAAACAAAACTGACCTAAGAAAATTACAATTTTATATTTAAAAGAAATTTGTGATTACTTTTAATTAGAAAAGACTAGGAAACATGTAGCACAAATAAAAAGAATAGATAATTTCCTGAGTAAAAACATAAGACTTGGATTGCACAAATCTATCTGTCCTATAATAAACAAAAAGTCAAAAAATTCAGAAGGAAATTCAAATTGGTTCATTAAAGTCTAACATTTTTGCTATCTTCATCCGATCCCCTTTAAAATGTGCCCAATCGTTTTTCATCGGATGGCCACTCACTTCAGTAACTGAAAACTCTTTATCTTCTCTTAAGGAAATAATAGTATCAATTTTTTTCCATTAGATCGGCTGCCTTGTTGGAATTGCGACCCCTTGCACTTGCCCTAAGACACGTTTCACCGTATGAAGCACACCAATATTGTTTATTTTTAGTAAATAATTTGGAGAGAATGGGCGCTAAACGTTAACTATATATGTTCCCTCAGACATCGGTTCGATAAGCCAATTCACATTTTCCATTAGTTTTATCCTAAAAGATTAGTCTCATTAGTCATTATCCTCTACATTTTTTGGTAAAATCAAGTAATGTAGACTCACGAATTCCAACGCGAAGACTTTCTCAAATGAAGCAATAT